ATGTTCCCTCTAAGCCTGGAGGGAAATAGAGGGAACACACACATGTAAAGGAAGCTCTCAAAAACATGTAGTTATCCTAATTGGGCTTTCATCAAGTCAGCAAAGATGCACAGAAAAGAAGATCAGACACCAGCTGGGGAGGATAAGAAAGACAAACGCAACAACATTGTCATCCCCTATGTGTCAAGGCTTCGCTGTGTGGAGGTGAGGAAGAACGGACCCAAATGCAGGACTCACGGGCTAGTGTGGAATGAAGATGGTGTTTATTATACAGAATGGATGAACAGAACATGAGACGGATGACTGGCTGATTGACTGACTGAAAGACTGACTGAACTGAACCGAACTGGAACATACATGCGGGGTAGACAACGTTAATGACTAGACAATGAACTGGTGGAAACTGACGACTTAAATACACAGACTGATGAGGATGATAATGAGAGACCGGTGAGTACACAGCTGAACATAATGTGGCTAATGACACATATAGAGGAACTAGAACATAATGCACAGAGACAGAAAGTTGGCACAGTGAAACACGAGCATGTAGAAAATAAACTGAACATGAACAAACTGAAGTTGCTGGGTCAACGACCCAGGAACCCTGACAATATGTAGCCGGTGTATCCGAAAAACTCAGGAGAGTCTTCTCCAGGAACGACATCTCAGTTTACTTCAGACAGAAACTGGTTCATCCCAAAGACAAAACACACAAATCTAACAATGTAGTGTATTCTGTAGTGTAGCAAGGAATGCACAGACCTCTACATTGGAGAGACCAAACAGCCACTTCATAAACACATTGCACAACATAGAAGACCCACCTCCATGGGACAATATTCGGCTATCCATCTGCATCTGCAAAGGTCACTCTGTTCACATTTTGGACAGAGAAGATGGTTTGAAATAGGAGTGAAAGAAGATATCTAGGTCCACTGTGAACGGCCATCTTTGATCAGAGGCGGTGGTTTACGACACCAACTGTCTGCCATCTATAATCCAGCTTTGAGATCTCTTAACAGGCACCTTAACGCCCACTCACATTCTGGGAAATCACATGATAGGGTGGGGCTAGATTTCACCATGAGCTCACCTGAAACCTTGGCTGATTGTGACCCACACCGCTTTTCACACTTTGGCTCATGTGATTAGGTAAAGGATCATTAGGGGGTCCATTGTCCCCCCCGGGACACTCAAACAGGGCTTAAATATGGGACTCTTCACCATTTGACCCTAGAACTGAAGAAGCTTCTTGGATGAGAGGTGAGAGATGAAACATCTTCAAGCAACTTAAAGAAGTCCAGACGCTTTTTTTCTTTCCAAGCTAAGTTCAACTTACCAATATGCTGATAACATTTTGAAATGCAAGTCTACTGATACAAACAAATTCATACTATTACCATCATCCTCTGCTAGCATTATCAATAGCAACACATTGTTAAGCTATTGCTGTGGAACTGTTTACTTTTAATTGTGGTGCAGCTTGGCATGTGTCCCATCCATTACACTGGCCCTATTACTGGTTTCAGTGGAATGCTGTGCTCACTCTTAGTCACAGAACTAATGCCAGCTATTGTATGAACCTCCCTGAAACAAACAAAGTCTCCTTTCATGTCAGGATCTCATTACAAAGAGGCCTTTCTCTGGCAACAGAAAGGTGCAGCTCAGCAAGAACAATAGACAAAAAGACAGAAGGGAAAATGACTCTGAGGCATGCTGAGGATACAATGAGCTGAGGAGTCCCATTAAGACAGGAGGAAATCTATGAATCAAAGTGTGTTTTTTGAGCCATGCAATAGACGTTTTAGAAATCCTCTAGACCTAGTACCAATTTCAGAAAAGGATCGCCATTTCATTAGATCTATTAGAATCATTTGGAGGAATTTCGTGGATTGAAATATTGGGAGTTCCTGTGAATAAAATGTAAAAAAGATCTCATATCAGCATCAGACAAACTCATGATTTGTTTAGTGCATGCTGGGGGGGTGTACAATAGGATACAAGTGTTTTTCTAGTTACTGACCATTCACAAGACTTTAGTATACAAGGCACATTTAACCGTACATTCATACAGTGTTTTATTCCATACACCTTATCTATGTCACAGGCAATTTAGAATCAGTTATCAAGCATGTCTTTGGACTGTGGGAGGAAGCCAAAATACCCTGAAGAAAACCTACACATATAGATTATAGAAACTCCACAGAGAAACCCCATTCAGGGTTTGGACCTGCAACCTATTCCACCACCATACCACTTCAGTTAGAATACCACTAGTGTTAGATTGACATTTAATTTACCTAACTTGAGCTATCATTTACTATCCATTTAATGCCTCCAATTTGAGTTTCATTTTTTCACTATCAGCAAAAAATGGACTAGCATTTACACAGCATTTGAGTGGTCTCATTGACTCTTCAAAATGGCAGCAGCCTCGTCAAAGTGAGAAGAAATTGTGTTAAATAAAAAAGGATATGGAGCACATTACTTATTACAGAGCTCTCCAAAAGTTGATTCTGTTCATCTGGACGTAGTGTTTTCAGTGGGAGAAACGTTTTGTCACTCATCCAAGTGACTTCTTCAGTCTCAGCTGACTGCAGGTTTCCCCAATCTTA